GTCTCTTTTATATCTGTGAATCACTCTTCTGTTCCCCCTCCTCACCTCACCTCTCCTCACGTTTTTTTTCACTTTGATATTCCTTCCCTCTGTGAAGCCTAAAGTCAACTAAAGGGCTAATGATAAACGCCTGCCATTTGAAATAAATAAATGTTATCAGGCTTATATAAAACGCTTGGTAACGCAACAATGTAAACACTTGGTCCAAAACTCGTTCATTATGATCCTATTGGATCGATTTACATACTTAAATCGCTTCATTTACTTTAAATTGCCAAAAATTTAGCGTTTGGTCGTATGGTTATTTGTTCACTGTTCGATGATAAATTGAAATTGACCGGAATATTGTGCGATTCGTTGTAAATATTTTGTGAGCTGATGACAATAACCTGGTAGATATTCATATTTCTATAAAGTATTTCCAGAGTTTACCAAATGGAAACCTCGTGAAAGTTTTTTTCTAACTAATGAGAATTTCGGGAGAACATTTGATGCCATAAACCTGTCCTTAACGTAAATCGGATATAAACCTTGGCCCTCCAAATTATAGGTCACCTCTTTGAATGAAATTGTGGAAAAAATGGAATAAATATTTAAATAACCGTGCATAAGCTCGTGTTAATACCCGTTGGAATAAGAACAAACGATTTCGACACAATTAATGAGCATCGGACAATTGTAACCCAAAGGCCTGGACAATACACATGATGGGTTGGAAAATTTAACACTGTCATATTGCCGACCAAGCTTGTAATCGATCAATTTGTAATACACCAATCAATATATTGTCAATTACCCTTCTGTAATATTTGTAATGATTAAGTCATAGTTGAATTAAAAGTTAATCACTTTCATCTCCCTTGTCTGCTCACAGGGGCCAAGTGGATATTTGAGATAATATTAGGAATTAGCTTAGTTCTCATTTACTCTTTGTGGGTACTTTGCTGAAGACAAATTCAAAGTCTCTTCGCATACAACTAAGTATGAAAGAACTTCAACCATCCGGAATAAATAATCAATGCTTAAATTTCGGTTCTCAAGGTAACAAACTCGAGAAGATGCTATTTTCTCACTTCAAATTCGAATTCGATGCATTTGAAAGCATGGGTTAAGGTAAGGCGCTCACTTTTGAGTCATCAATATCTGATGGGAAAAAATACTGAATCACTGGCCAGCCACACGCTGGAGAGAAAGTAGGAACTGTGATGGGGTGCATAAATTAGGAGATAGCAGAGAAAGAGAGAACACGGTGGTGATGTGTCACTCACTATACTTTCGGCCATCCACACATTGATAAGAATCTCATTCTATCCTCAATCTAGACCACAAAGTTAATGAGTCAAAGCAATGGAAAACCGAAGTGTATGGACATCCTTTCGTAAATCATTTAGTTGAGCTCTTTTCGCTCTTTCAACTTTGAGGTACACTGGGACTGAAAATATAGCCGTATGTTTTGGGTGGTGGAGGGGGGGGGGGATCGGGGTTTAATTATCCCACGTTTTACGATCGGTTGCTCCTTTTCTCAGGTCATCGTGCCTAGCATGTTTTGCATGCCAAAGTTAGTTAGTGGGAAAATTAGGGGCAGAAGACAACATAGTGAATTCTTTTGCGTCTACAACATAGTGAGTGAAAGTTGAACTGCAAGCTCCAAATCGTAGTAGTGCCAAGATCACGACCCTAGTGAGTTGGGCCTATTGGCTGGCATTTATAGACATGACTCGTTGTCATTAAATCACCAAATCACAACTCACGCCAAAATAAAGCATTTACACGACGTATTCATTGTGGGAAGGCAAGCTATTAGCTCGGGCTACACGATACCTAGTATGCAATTCAGGTTTCGGAATTCAAAGGTTGAGATTTATTATTTTGTTTATGAGCAGAATTCGCATGTTCAGTCGGTAATGAGTTTATCTAAGTACGATTGTTAGTACTGACACCGAAGTTATTTTTTTCTCCCAAAATTGATGAAACTGAATATTTTCTTTTAAATGTTTGCAAACAGTAAGAAAACTGTTTGCCTATTTTTATAAATAAATTTTCAACCTAAATTTAACAACTTAGAATACAATTTGAGCTCCCTATCTTACAATGTTTTGCCAACTTTAAATCTCGAAAATGAAATATTGGCGGTTATTTCACTAAGACCTGAATACACCGATTAATAAAATTGTTTTCTCATTTTTGTTTGAATGCATGGTCGTTTGTTTTCCTGCTTGATTGAGAGTAAGATGGAGTATATGGACCACATATTTCCTTTAAAGTATTCACAACAAAACCGATAAGTAAGTCTGCAAAAAAACTGTATAAGCGTGTTAAAGAAGGCAAACTCTTCACAGTGATAAAATTTATTCGATCGTGGCAACGAAATCTTCTCATTTGTTCTTTATATGTGTGTGTGTGTGTGTGCGTGTGTGTGTGTGCGTGTGTGTGTGTGTGTGTGTGTGTGTGTGTGAAAATCAAGGGATACAAGATAATACCGCAGTGTTTGTGCTATGAAGAGTAGCGAGAAAGCATAAGTAATCGGCGTAAAAGGTGGAGTTAACTTAAAATTGGGGGGCAAGGGAGGCAACGCAGTCTTCTCTGTTAATTAAAGGGATCAAGTTGCACAAGCAATGCGCGATAAAATGTTTGTGTGTGTTTTAAGATTATTCCAGAAAAAAGAGCATCTGTGGCTGTAATTAACTGATATTGCGTTAGAGTATTTTATCGGGGTCATGATCAAGAGGTGGGTGGTTAGTGGGGGCGCAGCGCGAGGGGGGGGGAGGAGGGAAGAGGTTAACTTTTACAACCATCCTGCATTTTGCGCCTGAACGGATCCAGAGGTTGACCATTGTTCATGATCCTGATAATTTGAAGATGCTGAAATGCAGAAAAATGCACCAATCAAAATTTCTTTCAAATATGCCAATTGATCCGAGAAGTACATAGTTGATGAGGAAACAAATTAAACATTTCGGGAGGCGGGAAATCTTTGAAACTCTTGTCCATGCAAGGTAATGTATTCAATGGATATCTAATTGCAATTATATATCTGAATGCCTGCTTTCGAAGCATGAATGCATTCCCTCTAATCACTTTCGCGATCGTGTATTTCGTGTGCTGGTTGTCAGTAAGGAAATAAATGGTATAGTTGAATTAATAAGGTGGGGGTGCCAATTGCAACCAGATCCATTTGTCAGACTTCCTTTGAACAAAAGACAATAACAGGTGCATGAGTTGGACAAGGGTAGAGATTTCAAGGTAGGAGAAGAAGATGAGTCCCATTGTAGATAAGACCCCTTTGTCTATAATATCGTAAATTCTCAAGGATTTTCTATTCACTTGGCTTCTACATAAGTTTCATGACAAGCTGATACACATAATAGTGGTCGTTTGCTACTGGGGGAGGGGGGGGGGTAGGGTTCACATTTTTCCAAAAGACAGCATTTCGATTTAGCTGAAATTCATTTGGTTGGGAAAAAAGACAATTAAAATCCCAAATTATCGTGATTGAAAGACTAGGTAGTGGCATTACTGATCAATTACTTGGTATAAGCTCGTGAGATTCATTGCGTCTGATACTTTTCGCTACTGGTCCAAACAGACGCACACAAATATAGTATGAATAGGACAATTTGTGGTGCATTATCTTTAAGATCTTGTACAAACTTTATAAAAAAATTTACAATTAAAGAGTGGGTAGTTGGCGAATAAAATAAAACAGTCCAATTAATAAAGTTTGTCAGTAATAATCAATTCCATTAGTTAAGTATTACTATTGGTCTAATAGGAGCGGAAACTTACATGAAAAGTAATTTTGTTGAGCAGGAGGACGGTAGGTGGCTATGTTAGTTGGTATAGACTGTCTTGGAGAAAGATTTGGCCATCCATTTGTGGTACTGCTCTGATACAAGCTCTGCTGGTGAATCGTCTCATTCTCTCTAATTTGCCTATGCGGATGATGCCTCAAGTAACTCGTTTTCTGAGTTCCATAGTACTGGGTCATCAGTCCTGGATCGTCCGCGCTCGAACGCTCAATGCTATTCCTACTCTCGTAGTAATTCATCTGTTGATTTAACCCACTCCAGTTATTCGATCGGGCCGATCTTGGCGTGGAATCATAATAGACACGAGTTGGACTTGCGTTTCTCCACGTTTGATTAGTTGCGGCCGGTGTTGCAATATACATCCGATTTGCGCTGATTTCAGAAAGAGGTTGAGCCTTTTGGATGTAGACAGTATGACCTGTTCCCGGTGAGTAGGTATTTGAGTAATTAGTTTGGTTCATTCCACTATAGTTTGCTGAGTGAGTAGCTTGATAGGTGCGGCCCATCGTGGAGCTTGCCGACGTTGGATTGTCGTTATAATAGCTTCGTGTCTATAGAGAAGCACCACAACCAATAAGTCAATGAGACTATATTAAAACTTCGAAAGAATTTACTTTAAAAAATGCTTGAAGCTAATCGATATTCCTGGCAAATGGTGATCAGCACTTGAGAGAAAGAAATTCCACCTAGATAATTGGAGAATAAATAAAAGAGTACCACTTGTTGGGAACGAATTGAAGCGCCCAATTTCGAGGGGGAACAAATGTATGGGAAGTGGTTTGAAAGAGGGTAAGTAGCCTGAACGCAAAGAGGATATGTAAAAATCAGGCTTGTTACTGGGTTTTCATTGCACGGCATGAGGTAGTACATACGCATCAAAAGCTAACGGACGCACGCGAGGAAAATTCGTTTTTAAAAGGAGGGCAGTGTGCATTTTTTCGGCTTCGAATGCTGATGAGAATTGGCTCCGAACTAATGATAACGCCCCCCACCCAACAAGGGCACTTATTGAAATCAATTGTATAAGCTGCATTTGAAATGCTTATAAAAGGAAATTCCTCTAGTCAATGCGTTTAATTAAGCTTAATATGATTTCGATATTATTATAGAATGTTCAGTGGCGGACTTTTCAATTATAGAATTCAAATTCAAGTATTTTTTAAATTATCTAATTTCATATCAGGTACTTTGTAATTTTTTGATTATAGAAGCATTATAATAAAAAAGAAATTAAGAATTCGCCTTGAAAGCATTTTCTTAAAATTCAAAAGTTATGCGAAATTTCTTTTTCTAAATGAAAACTCACTGTTGCCTTGACTTTTGAAAATGTACTCAAATTTCACCAATTCGATGTTTTGAGGACTATGTACTGACTTTTAATTTTTTTGATCAAAACCAATTTCTTAATCACTAATCTATAAGTTCATAAGATTTAAAGAACCTCCCCCCAATTTTCGTGATATTCCCTTCAAAGACAAGGTAGGCTTGTGTCTGCAACACCCAGAAGATTAAAGAATGGCATTATTTATAGGGGGAGGGATAATTTTGATAATCGCAATCGCAAAAGGATATTTTTTTCATAAGAAATTGAAAATAGCAAATTTAAACCAATAAATCGTTGAGAAGGCGTGGAAGCAGTATAGACAACCAACGCGGAAAATTGCTATTGTGTAATAAATAAATAAACAAAACGTTCAAAATTTTAAATTTCCAAGAGTTATAACTTGTTTGAATTGTATTTATGAAATTTTGATTTTCTTTCCACGCCATAGTCATGTTCATGCATAATTGGTTTGGTTAATTACTTTCCAAATCGGAAGTGCCTTTTCTTTAGGGTGGATTGATTGGTTGGAAGGGGGAGGGGGGAGGGGGGAGGGGGGAGGATGTTATTGGGCAATCTTCTCCAATGGAAGGAAATGGTCATTTTGTTAGCCAATTGAAATTCACCAATCACCATTTCCTTGGGAAAATCTTTTCAATTCTATCTTACCTCCCCAAATCCAACCAATTGGGCACGCCTAAATTTCAGACAAACGCACCACAGTAACTCGTACAAAATAAGTATGCAGATTTAAATATGTGCCTTTTGATAAAAAAGTGAATGGGTTCACGATCATTCAATGCAAATATTTATTTTAACTGTTCTTGAAGTCAGTTAGCCTATTTACTATTATTATTGCTCATGGCAAATCAATTATGGGAAGTGAGTAAACTCATCAATAGTAGGATAATGGATGTTGATTATTGAACAGAGAGTAAATTTATCGCATTAGGTAATCAAACTTACGTCAATTGACAGTTGATAAATGTGCTGAACCCTGTAGAGCAGGGTGTGGTTCAGTTATTGAATAAAAGCGGATACGTTTTCATTGTAGAAATCTCATACCTACCATTGATTGCCACTCTTCAATTCTGCCGATAGTGAAGGTACAGAATTCTCACATAAAGTGTTCACCCAGGGAATACTTGTGATCCTTCCTATGCCCAAGATGGCTTATCTGATAAATACGTTTGAGGGATGACAAATGAAAATGGATGGAATAATTAACTGCTCAATCTTAAAAAACGAAACAGCAGCAAATGGTGTAAATTAGCAATTCTGGTATCACATCATGGTAATTGAGCATTGAAAATTTTCCATTGTTACAGAATGAACTATATTTGAAAATTATTCGAATTTTCTTGAAAACTCAAAGTTTTCAGAGTTCTTGCAATTACGTTGAAATGAATGGTTAGAAAATGTGGCCTTTACTATAAAGTATAATAACTTATTTGACCCAGAAATGGCGCTAACATTAATAATTTCTTAAAAGGGCTCTTTAGATGAAATATTGTTCCACCCTTGCACACACTGACGCATAATTCTGGGTTGTCATATAATTGGATACTCATCTAACGACCAGAAGTTAAGAAGAGCTAAATAGTCACATGCTCTTGGTGTACTTTAATATGGTTTTTGACCTCCGTTCTGCTTCCACTCGTTCTGTCATGTTGTTTACTCAATTCCCTTCGGATTCCACTATTTCTCATTCTATTGTTCAATGCACAGGTGGGCCAAATAACTTATTGATCCCTCGATGAAGGAAAAATTATCGTTTCCGCTGACGCATTAAAAGGATTGTTAACTGGTCAAATTACTGAAGAGTGAATGAAGAATATATTTGTGTCAAACCTCACCTAATGGAATTCTAAGATAAATTGAATCATAACCACGCACTCATGAATTTATAGAACTAAATAAAACAAGGTATGATATTTCATTGGTTAGCTTATTTTAGAAAGAAATTAATAGAGGATAAATTGAGCATTTTCTTGATCAGTACTAAAATCGATTATGCCATCTAAAAATAAATGTTGTGAAAACATTGATGCTTCAATTCATTACATGTTACTTTGCAAAACTTTCCCATTGTTAAATTGAATCTCCATGAATGTAGAGATTTAGAATATATCCCGAGAGTTTGGAAATATCTCATGAACTACTTTTAAAACCACAAACTGGCTACACGGGTCATTTAATCACTTTAAACTTTAATTAAATTTTGATTTTTAGGAAATACCATTCGCTGTAAATAATTGAAATTCCATTTCTAACTTCACTAATGGGGAGTTCCCGAATTTTTTGAACCCCGTCAACTGTGCTACTAAGATGATCCATACATATAATTAAAAAAAACTTAAAATATTTTGAAAAGGCAACAAATCAAAATGATTGATGTTAAGTGCTAAAAGAAAATTATACTTGGGCACCGAAAAAAGCCTGATTTAAATTGATTGAATATATCACTCAGTTTTGGTGGAGCATAAAAGAAAAATAGTGCAAATAAGTAGAAACTTAACATATCATACTTAAACTGAAGTTCTTCTTCAATGCATGGAAACAATCTACTTATATTTTGTAAGTAGCAATTAAGTTGTTTTTACTGATGATGATCAGATACTTCGATTTTTTTAGGAGAAGATGTAACTTGCACAACATTGAGATTTGTACTTAGCTCTCCATTTTTATTCTTTTCGCAAATGTTATTGACCAGAATTATGAAAGGTATGCAAAAACTCACGATCATCAGGACTGCCAATTTCCATATTAAAAATTCAAAGGGCCAAAAGGTGATAAATTTGTACAGTTTGCAAAACCTTTATCGATTTTAAATAGATTTCAATAAAAGCCTTAAATACCAACCTTTTTTATTCTTTATAATTGACCGTTATTAAATAGTTATCTTTATCAAATTTTTTATTTAACCGAGTACAACAGAAAGAGTTCGAGGACAAAATTTTGAACAATTTCACTCTCCAATAATTAGATTAAAATGATGCGCACTCACCGGCGAAAAGATATCAGCCGGTCTGGAAGGTGACATTTTAGGAGTCATCATAGGCTGAGAGCTCATCGCATTGAGATGTTCATCGAGAAGTTTAAAGGAGCGAGTGCGAGTAACTTTATCATTGTAACTGGCACTATTTGACCTTCCTCTCGACCATGTACCAGTGGTTTTCACAACCGGACTTTGATTCATTGGAGGCCCAGGTGATGGAAGTGGTGTTCGTAGGAGGTTTGGAGCCCTTTGTGCAAGTATCTCCTTGTCGATACCCTGCCTAAATGATAAATGCTCACTAACAACAAGGTAACTACGAGGACAATTGAGCCCAAAAATATAATCGAAATAAGATTTCTTTCAGTATGCCTTAGCGGTCTAGCTGTTCGATAATGGCAAACGATGCCAGTAAGCATCAGTCGTTTGAACTTTTTTCTCTCCCACCAACTTACTGATTAACACGTTCCATTGTTTGAGAAATGTAAACTCTTTTAATAAGTAGCATATTGTATGTCCTTTCTATGTTAGACATTTTATATGGAATCGAATCTTCCAAAGATCTTTGATGGGATTTTAGTTAAATCATCTCGAGAAAGAGCCATGGTAGATATTAATGCAAGTGTTTGTCAAGGATATCAATTCCAAAAAAGTTCCCTTTCTTTTAGAAATGAATCTACTAACAAAGCGAAATAAATTATCGATAATTGGAATGATACCTAGTATTTCAATCTCATATATAAATTATTTTGTTCGTTTTCAAACTCAACGTAATTCAAATTGATAGTGAGAAGTTATTGGCAAATGTTAAACGGATGTTTCAATTCACTATTTATGAAAAAATTGATTTGATCGATCCTAAGGTAATTGCTTTTACATTTATGTTAATAAGTACCAATATACACAAGTGTTGGGGTGTGCGATAGACTTACCTTCACGTGGTGCACCCTGGGCAACGTATATTCATACGGCAAAAAAGTCTATAACTCAGCAGTTGACTTCTAACTACCATTACCTCACTAAATGCCATAGTCGACCACTTCTGCAGTACTCACCTTACATTTTCCCTGACTTGGTGCCTGTCTGTCTATTTTACATCTGTAAATCTCTCTTTGGTCCCCATCTTGAATTTTTCCCACTTTGATGTTCCTTCTCCTCTGTGAAGTTCGAAGTCAGCTAAAGGGCTAATGATAACTTCCAAAACGCCTGCCATTTGAAATAATAATAAATATACATGAATGCAAGACTTGCGAATTAATTTCCTTGTGCTATTTTAAAACAACCTATTGATAAGTCTTGACAATAGTTGAGCATGGGCAACGTGAAGCCAACTAAGTATGTACAACTCTTAGCACTAATACAGATAAAATGTAAATACCCACTTGCATACATACGCAAAATATCGAAGCATCAAATAGTCATAAACCAATTATTTATTCTTTTAAATAAATTAATCATTTCCTGATCCACTCATTCGGTTTACCTCACTTTGATACATATCAAAAAAATTAGTAGTTTTTTATCTTTCGTCTTTTAATTTGATAAAGATAAGCCAAAATTTCGCTCCATTTTCGGACACTTTGTAGATCAGTGGAAAATATACTTAGTAAAGCATCATGCAATTTTGAAACAATAACCTTTAGCTGTCCTGAAAGTTAATACTATAATGTTCTTTCCAAAAGAACGATGCCATTTCTGCAAGTCTTTCACTTTCTGGCCATAACGCGCAAAAGATTTCGGGATTTGAACATACGTTTGCATCCAATTCTTTAAAATTAGACTATTGTAAACTTGTCATTTTTTTTGATTAGATAAATTGTAGAAATGCTTTGTCTTATAGCACTCTAGTAAGGTTAATATTTTTTAATACATTTCCAGGTACCCTTGGTGTTACCCCTATAAATGTTATTTGTCCAATATATATATATATATATATATATATATATAGCTGCTGTACCCCCTTTCTGCTTCGGACATTCATATTTTTCTTCGAGTTTCCTAATTCCTTTGATTATTTCCTAATATGAAGTAGTTGTGCTCGAATTTGCCTATTAAATACAATGCTTTGGTCTTGGCTTAGTCCTCTCCATATGCAAATACCCTACCCAATTCTGACCTAGAACCACCCTGGTATTAGTAATGTTTGCATTAATTTTGTACAAAGCGAAAAAAAATTTAACTTACTTGACAACCATAAAGTCGAGTTCATTTCCAGCTCGAAGAATCTCCGCTTTGACTTGAGAATGGTACATGTTTTGAACTGTCGAATCACAGATCCTGACAACGATATCGCCCACTTCAAGTCCAGCTCTTGCGGCAATACTGTGGAGTGTGACCTAGAGCAAAGTAAGCGAAAACGACTAAAAATTTTTTAACTCATTATAAGATATGACACTATATTAGATATCAATGTTAATAATAACACTATCAAGGTTGTCTTCTTTCCCCGAAAATTTCTAACATAAACTAGTGGGTAAGCACTGAGTGAAACTGATTCACCCATTAAGTAAGTATTTTGTTCTTTGAAATTTTTCCACCTTTTAGGCGCTTGATTTTTGCTTATAAATACAATTTAATGTAGAAATCAAAGCTTAGGAAACTAGATATTTACCAGATTAGTGCGAATCTATTCGTAATATTAATGCTATGGGTTTCCAAGTGCATATATGTTTCCTCTCTGGGAAGAAACACAGTAAATAGTCATTTCCTGGACAGTCCTTCGTGGTTTTATTTCTGGATCTTAGATCAGTTGGAAATAATGTGTAATTTCAAATTAATTGGGATTATTAAATGAGTAATGGATAATAAAATGGAAGACAGAATTTAATGAACACGAAAAAAATCAGATTGTTCTCATTACACATTAATTTAATTTAAATAGATTTTACTAGAATGAATGCTACGTATGTTTATGGTGAACTATTGGGTTGGCAACTAAATCATTGCCGTTTTTGTTG